GTGGGAGCAAATTTCGTCCCACTAGAATATTCGTCTAAGATTCCTTCGTCTTCTCCACTTCTCTTTCTCCCTGCAAAACAGATCGGGGTAAAAGGACCACACCCGGGGGGTGTTGGCCAAAGGCCCTCCGATGCCTAAGTTAGGTAGGGTATTTCAAGGAAAACCGGGTGGCCGGAGCCGTGTGTGGTGGCCGGAGCCTTGTGTCAGAGAGAGAAAGAAAGTGGTGGCTAGGGTTTGTGAGAAATAATTTCTGCAGAGTTTCAGTAGGAATTTAGACGTACCTTGATCTTTGTGCGTAGCCAAGTATTTATAATGGTCTCGGAGATTAGGGTTTCAGAGGAATAATTTCATAGATGGAAGGGAATTATTCCTCCCCTATGTGGAATTGATTTGATTAATTAGGGATTTGATTTATTAGGGTAAATCAAATCCCTAATCGTGGTAGGTATCAGATCAAATCCTAATTTAATTAGGTAACTCCTCATTTAATTGGGAATTGGGGTAGGAATCAAATCAATTCCCAACTTAATTAGGTAATTCTCAATTTAATTGGGTAACTCCCAATTAAATTGAGTAACTCCCAATTAGGTTGAGTAATTCCCAATTAGGTCAAATAATCCCCAAATGGAAGGAATTATTTGACCTATGGTATGATTTAATTCGGTTCCCACAAGTAGTATTTGTGAATCTCCTTTGACTTCAAACCTTAGGAAATATCTGGGGGTCTCATTAATTCATACAAGACTAAATAAGGCTACTTATCGAAGTGTGGTGGGTAAAGTGCAGCAAAAGCTTACTGCTTGGAAAGGCAAGTTGCTTAGTTTGCCTGGCAGAGCAACTTTAATTCAATCAGTAACTGCTTCCATTCCTTTGTACACTATGCAAACTGTTCGGCTCCCTGCTAGTACTTGTGAGGAGTTGGATAAAATAAATAGGAATTTTTTATGGGGGAGTAGTGATGATGTTTCGAAGGCCCACCTTGTGAAGTGGGACATAGTTTGCAAAAGCAAGAAGAAAGACGGCCTTGGTCTTAAGCAAACTGATCTTATGAACCAATCTATGTTGGCCAAGGTAGGATGGAGATTATTGCAACACAAGGAGAGCCTCTGGTCAAATGCTCTAGTTCAGAAATACCTACAAGGTAATGTTTCTAATATTATTTGCAATGAAAGGGCAAAGCACTCGCATCCTTCTCCTACATGGCGTGCTATTGAACATGGTGCAAATATTTTGAAAAAAGGGATAAAAATTAGAGTGGGAGAGGGGCTGCACACTTCTTTTTGGATAGATAATTGGGTTGGTGATGGGCTATTGATAAGTCAGTTAAGGAGGGTGCCTCAAGATAAATTACAGTTGAAGGTTTATGACTACCTGTCTGATGGCACTTGGGACCTGGAAAAGCTAAAGGAAGATTTATCACTTGAGATTGTAGGTCATATTACGTGTGTACCTACTGGATTAAGTTGTAAACCAGATATTCCTATCTGGAAGCATACTACCAATGGCTTTTTTAATGTTAAATCAGCATATATGGCTAATTGTCGAGAGTCGTCGAGTATGGATGTTAGCTAGGCTTTTATATGGAACATTAAGGCTCCCCCAGAAGTCAAATGTTTCCTTTGGTTGCTGCACCAAGATAAACTCTTAACAAATGATCAAAGAGTTAAAAGGAAGATGACCATGACTGCCAATTGTGATATCTATTTGTGGTGCCCCAATGGAGAATGTAGCTCATATTGTACGGAATTGCCCAGTGGCAATTTCAGTTTGGCATCAGTCCCTTATGCCTATGAATATGAGTTTGCTGCAGGCTGTTGATCTTCATACTTGGGTTGCAAAAAATTTGCACAACTTTACAATTTTGGCTTATGGAGTGGAGTTGTCAACCATGTTTGCTTTCACTTGCTGGTTTCTTTGGAAATTGAAATTACCTATAGGATGACTAAAAATGCCTAGAGGGGGATGAATAGGCCAATTTAAGATTATAATCAAATAACTAAAAATAAACTTCGGTAGCAGGATTAATATGGCTTATCAATCTTGAAATGTGCTAAACATAAAATAAAGAAATACATAGAGAATTATTTTACGTGGTAAAACCTCATCTCTGGGGAAAATTCACGAGACTGCTCAGTCCAACACAAATCTATTATAGAACGATGATTACAAGAAGTACTCACACACTTATCCTAGACACATTCTACATAATGTTTATCGACTTCTTCGTAACTTAACTTCTGTCACAGGATGATCTTCGACACTTATTATGTTGAACGCAATACTGGTCACGATTGCTTCAAGCTCGCTAGAGGAAAACCGCCACCACGGTCTTGGTGCCCTCAAACATATGAGTCACCGAACAATGCAAATGAATGCAATGTGAATGATTAAAGTGTTTGATAAATCACCAAATGAACATGGAATACTTGATGATTTATCTCAAATATATGCATAACAACTTTCTTAAGAATTTTAGATGCTCAAACAAAATATGAAAGCTGTATCTTTGAAAGGAAAATCCTACATTTTATTAAAGGGAGTTTTTCTCTTCAAAGAGGAAAACCCAACAGACCATTAATCATATTCAACTATGACTCTACAAAACTGATCCAATATAATCTCTTGTCCAATACGCCAAGACAACAGACACACTACTAGTCAAGTGTGAATATTAATTTTGATTCTATATGGACTCTAAGTGATGACCCACACATCCACTTTTATTAAGGAACAATTATCTCCGAAAATAAGTTAATTAGACCAACTAGGAAAAGATAATATTTTAACTTAAAACATAATAGAGTCCAACTAGGAAAGTAATCTTAAGAGATAAAATATAATCCTATCAAAAATAGGTCTAATAAAAAAGTACTTGATTGAAAATAACTCCAACTAGGAATCCTATATTGAATCATGATTTACCTGAAGTCAAGTTTCTCATATCGGTCAAGTCAAGCCTCAGAAGTATGGGGTTGAATGAGTTGTGCCAAAACGTCTAGTAATAATTCTTCACACACTAATTTTCAACCTATGCTAGAGTTGGCAAATGACAATATAATTTTCATACTAACAGAAATGGAGGAATTAAAAAAAATTTGATCATGGGTTTGTGTTTCCCAACAACCCCAGACACGTCATTCTTATGGCTACTGCATATTGGACACATGCCAATATTGAAAAAACTAGACAACCCACATGCTCTCTCGCTGCGCTCTCTTGGCAATATCCAAATGAATGAGTGATTAAAATCAACACTGACGGGTGCAGAAAAGGTGAGGATGGACGCATTGCTATTGGGGGTGTACTAAGAGATAGTTATGGGCAGTGGATTTGCTTTGCTGTTAATCTTAGTGTAGGACAAGTCTTGGAAGCTGAGTTATGGGGCATCTATCTTGGACTGAAAATTGCTTGGGATATAGGTTGTAGTGCAGTTGTGCTTGAGTCTGACTCAGCGACCACGGTACACCTGCTTAACAAAAATGTGGAAGACCTTCATCCTCTTGTTGCTATGTTGTGGGGATGCGAAGACTATATAAACAAAAACTTATATCGTGAGTGCAACATATGGTAGCGGATAAACTAGCTGAATTTGGTTCATGTCTTGAGTTAGGTCTGTCAACCTTCCATGACCCCCCTGACAGTATTAGGTCATTTCTTAGTGAAGATTTACTTGGAGTCTGTAGGCCTCAAACCATTATTTAATTTCTTTGTTGAGCGTTAGCCCCATTTCTTCACCCATAAGAAAAAAAAAGTTTGTGGGAAGTGTTAAAGGGATGGAGTGACAACCCCACAATTATTTCCTTTCATTAATTGAGATTAAAACTTGTAATCTTCTTCATTATAAAGAGAAGTATCAATACACAAATGACCACTCCTTGAAATCATAAGTTTAATATATTATTCATTAATTTCCTTTTCTTCCTTTGTTTGATTGACTTTTCTAGATCTGTTGCTTTGACTGTTTTGAGTGCTTACTTTTCTTCTTGTTTTGTGAACATCTTCTCCTACACAACTCTACTTTCCTGGTCACATGTTCTTCGAAAGTCTTGAGAGCTATGATGTAAGCGATTATGTCACCTTGAAAAGTCCTAATATTATGTGGTTACCAAGTAAGTTCCCCGCGTCTTATCCATTGGGGCTCTCAATTTGTCTACATCTACTTTAAAATAAGCGTAATTTTCCTTTTTGGGAAATTAAGAAGTTCTATTTTCTTGTCAATTACAATTTGACATGTGTGCATATATATTTTTTTTTTGTATTTTTTATAAATTATTTTTACGTATGTATCAAATTGTAATATGCAAAAAATAAGAATGCCTCCTACCTTTTCTCATGGCAAAGAACTTTTCAATTTCTTTTACATTAAAAATCTAGTGCGCATCCATATTTAGCAAAATGCCAAATGCCAAACTTCGTTTCAAACATACCATGAAGATTAGCATTTGTACTTTTGGCATCCATCATGTACCAAAAATGAGAAGAAAATGAAATCGTTAAACATTTATAATTTAAAAAAAACTATAATTAGAATGGTAAATCAAGTGAATTGGTGTAGTATGAATGTGAGTGCAATATTCGTAGTCTGGAACATGCATATCTTGATAAAATGTAAAGATTCCATAAGTTTATGTTCCTTAACTTTTTTAATGATTTGATTCCATTTACCTTTTGTTCTTTCTCAATATTCACAACATGCTTTATAAAGAAATTCATACGCACATCTATTATTAATGCACCAAATTGAGATTGTCTAAAAATGTATCGATAAAACGTCGGAACATTTTGTTAATAACGCTATATCAATATCATCACATTATCGATGGACACTTACTATCCAACTTGGTATTTGTAGTTTTCTACTAATGAATCAACTTGACTAACAGGCTTTTATCAACCGACGTATTCAACGGGGAAATACAGAATTTTCTTCCTCTGTCACTGTAGGAAAGAAAAATCCCAACTCCTCACATAGCCTACTTCTATATATGACGTTCATGTCGAAGCTAAGTATCACAAACACAAACACAAAGACCAATCCCATCCCAATTTTTATAAAACCCATACTTCATCTTCATTTCAACTCCCAAACATGGCTAGCCAAAACCGAGAGTTGCATGTATTCTTGTTCCCTTTCATGGCTCATGGCCACATGATACCAGTCTCAGACATGGCCAAGCTATTGGCAGCTCAAGGAGTGGAGACAACCATAATCACAACCCCTCTAAACGCCCCAACATTCTCTAAAGCCACCCGATCAAGAAAAACCAACTCCGGCAGCTGCGGCATCGAAATCAAAATCAAAACCATCAAGTTCCCTTCTCAAGAGGCTGGGCTGCCAGAAGGGTGTGAGAATCCGGACTCACTTCCCACACCAGAATTAGCCAGTAATTTCTTCAAAGCAGTGGGCTTGCTCCAAGCACCACTCGAACAGCTTCTGCTTGAAGACCAGCCAACCTGCCTTGTGGCGGACATGTTTTTTCCTTGGGCAACTGATGCCGCTGCAAAATTTGGCATTCCAAGGCTGGTATTTCATGGGACTAGTTTCTTTGCTTTGGCTGCATCAGATTGTGTGAGGCGATATGAGCCTTTCAAGAACACTTCATCTGATTCAGAACCCTTTGTGATTCCTAATCTTCCTGGGGAGATCAAGATGACAAGAGCCCAGCTGCCTGATTTTATTAAGGACAATAATGAAAATGACTTGACCCGGTTGCTGAAACAGTCCAAGGAAGCTGAAGTGAGGAGCTACGGGATTGTTGTCAACAGTTTCTACGAGCTTGAAACAGTTTATGCAGATTATTACAGAAAGGTGTTGGGAAAGAAGGCATGGCATATTGGTCCCCTTTCTCTGTGCAACAGGGACAATGAAGAAAAAGCATACAGGGGAAAGGAAGCATCCATTGATGAGCATGAATGTTTGAAGTGGCTTGATTCAAAGAAACCCAATTCAGTGGTTTATGTTTGCTTTGGGAGTGTGGCCAAATTCAATAATTCTCAACTGAAGGACATAGCACTTGGGCTTGAGGCTTCTGGGCTAGAATTCATTTGGGTTGTGAGGAAAGGCAAAGATGATGATGATGTGGGCAAAGAGGATTGGTTGCCTGAAGGGTTTGAAGAGAGGATGGAAGGAAAAGGGCTAATCATAAGAGGGTGGGCTCCACAAGTCCTGATTCTTGATCATGGTGCTGTTGGGGGTTTTGTGACTCATTGTGGGTGGAATTCCACATTGGAAGGAATTGCTGCTGGGCTGCCTATGGTGACATGGCCAGTGTCTGCAGAGCAATTTTACAATGAGAAGTTGGTGACCCAAGTGCTGAAAATTGGAGTTGGTGTTGGTGCTCAGAAGTGGGTTAGGGTTTTGGGAGACAGTGTGAGGAAGGAAGCTATTGAGAAAGCTGTGACTCAGATTATGGTTGGTGAAGAAGCAGAGGAAATGAGAAACAGAGCCAGGGTACTGGCAGAGCAGGCAAGGAGGACTATTGCAAAAGGAGGATCATCGCATTCTGATTTGAACGTTTTAATTGAAGAGTTGAGTTCCCAAAGTTAAATTGGTACCAGATATTCAAATAAGACTTCACTTTATAAATGTATATTGTGAAAATACTTGATGAATACTTAGAATCATACAGTCTTAGCTAGAACATTTATTCATAAAAGAATGATGCATTTTGAAGATTGGTTTCTCTGTTCCATTATTTTTCATAGTTTTGACTAAAAGTTGTTTGTTTTTTTATTTTGAAACATTATGGGGAGAGAAACTTACCAACACTTGGAATGCCATTATAGTGATATCTCAAGTTAATCACGCATTGTCGCAGCATGTAATTGATTTGAGATACCGTCATATCCTCGTTTTGATATATAATTTTTTTTTTTAAAGTAACATTTTCTATCCACTTTTACTTTGACTATTCTTGACCATGCATTTTTACTGGTCTCAGTGCTAGAAATGTCTTCTCCATTTGGATTGTTAATTTATTTTTATATAGAAATTTAGTCAACAAATAGTGAATTACGTGCATAATATGGACATTCAAAAAAAAAAGGATAAAATTGCATGAAAACTAACTACATATGCTTTATTGGCCATTTAAAATAGTACGAGGGCAACCAAGGTGGTTGGTGTGAGTGGTTCGGCACTCTCATTCCTTAAGAGAGGTCAGGGGTTCGATCCCTGCTCTCGTATGGAGTCACCACTTTGGCCAGCACTTTACTCCTTACGGGCCGACCCGGTGTGAACGGGGATTAGTCTGGGTTGTGGTTAAGGCTTAAAGGTGCCATCCATAGTTGGAGCCCATCCAGGACCACCTCGTGGTTCAGACCAAAAAAAAAAAATAGTACGAGGGCTAAATTAACTGAAAAAGTCATCTAAGGTGTTAAATTCAACTAGAGTGATAATTTAGGAGGTGTTCTGTAGTTTACCTTGACAAAATGACATGTCATTTTTCATCATCACATGAAAAACACTTTTAAATTTCTTCTACACTGAAAATCTAGTGCCCCTCTTGCTTTTAGCAAAATGCCAAATGCCAAATGCCAAACTTACCCTAGTTGTAAACATTACCATGAATTGTCATCTGTTCGGCATCCGACACTTCTGTGGCATTGGGGAGACTTGTGAGATGCCTACTAGTCTATTATCTGACACCGACTTGGGCAATTTCAGCCAAAATTTTCTTCCTCTTCTTGGTAGCTTCGTATCCTGACAGAGCCTACTTCTATATATAATCTACATGTCCATAAAAGTTTCACAACCACAAATATAAACACAGACCATCTCCACCCCAATTTTTCTAAAACCCTGTACTTCTTTCTTCATTTCTATCCCCAAACATGGGTAGTCAAAACCGTGATTTCCATGTATTCTTGTTCCCCTTCATGGCTCATGGCCATATGATTCCAGTCTCAGACATGGCCAAGCTATTTGCAGCTCAAGGAGTGAAGACAACCATAATCACAACCCCTCTAAACGCCCCAACATTCTCTAAAGCCATCCGATCAAGTAAAACCAACTCCGGCGGCATCGAAATTGAAATCAAAACCATCAAGTTCCCTTCTCAAGAGGCTGGGCTGCCAGAAGGGTGTGAGAATCTGGACTCACTCCCCCCCACACCAGTATTAGCAGATAGTTTCTTCAAAGCAGCGGGCTTGCTCCAGGAACCGCTCGAACGGCTTCTACTTGAAGACCAACCAACTTGCCTTGTGGCTGACATGTTTTTTCCTTGGGCGACTGATGCCGCTGCAAAATTTGGCATACCGAGACTAGTTTTTCATGGGACTAGTTTCTTTGCTTTGGCTGCATCAGATTGTGTGAGGCGATATGAGCCTTTCAAGAACACTTCATCTGATTCAGAACCCTTTGTGATTCCTGATCTTCCAGGGGAGATCAAGATGACAAGAGCCCAGGTGCCTAGTTTTATTAAGGACAATATTGAAAATGACTTGACCCGGTTGCTGAAACAGTCCAAGGAAGCTGAGGTGAGGAGCTATGGGATTGTTGTCAACAGTTTCTATGAACTTGAACCAGTTTATGCCGATTATTACAGAAAGGTGTTGGGGAAGAAGGCATGGCATATTGGTCCTCTTTCTCTGTGCAACACAGAAAATGAAGAAAAAGCATACAGAGGAAAGGAAGCATCCATTGATGAGCATGAATGTTTGAAGTGGCTTGATTCAAAGAAACCCAATTCAGTTGTTTATGTTTGCTTTGGGAGTGTGGCTAAGTTCAACAATTCTCAGCTGAAGGAGATTGCTATTGGGCTTGAAGCCTCTGGGGTGGATTTCGTTTGGGTTGTGAGGAAAGGCAAAGATGAGGATGATGTGAGCAAAGAGGATTGGTTGCCTGAAGGGTTTGAAGAGAGGATGGAAGGAAAAGGGCTAATCATAAGAGGTTGGGCTCCACAAGTCCTGATTCTTGATCATGGGGCTGTTGGTGGTTTCGTGACTCATTGTGGGTGGAATTCAACATTGGAAGGAATTGCTGCTGGGTTGCCTATGGTGACATGGCCGGTGTCTGCAGAGCAATTTTACAATGAGAAGTTGGTGACCCAAGTGCTGAAAATTGGAGTTGGTGTTGGTACTCAGAAATGGATTAGAGTTGTGGGGGATAGCGTGAAGAACGAAGCTATTGAGAAAGCTGTGACTCAGATTATGGTGGGAGAAGAAGCAGAGAAAATGAGAAGCAGAGCCAAGGGACTAGCAGAGCAGGCAAGGAGGGCTATTGAAACAGGAGGATCATCCCATTCTGATTTGAATGCTCTCATTGAAGAGCTGGTGAGTTCCCATAGTTAAATTTGGACCCCACATTGAATAATGAGACCTCAGTTGATGAATATTGTAGATTAACAATCTTAGCAAGAACGTTTACTCATGGAACAATGATGCATTTTGAGGAGATCGGTTTATTTTATTTGATTTTCATAGTTGACTTGTTTTGTATGCTTTGGCTTGGTGGCGCCCTTGAAATGAGGAGCATGATTCAATCAGCATAAAATCCCAATGTCACATTTCATTGCGTCTCAGTTTTGTTTACCAATGTTCTATGGTGTTATGGGGGTTCGAAGTTGAGATCAATTTTTTTTCGTCGTTTCTATAAAATAAGCTATAGAGATAGGGACCTTCGTTTTCTTTTTCTTTTGTCATTTTTAATTCACTTCGGCAGGTATTCTGGGTTAAATAACAAGTTAAGAGAGTAAAAACAAGAAGTTTTAAAATAAAGTTTGTTTGTTTATGTAGATGGAGTCAAACTAATCTCCTAAAAATACTAAAAGAAAGCCGCAATGTGAACAAATGATGTAAGACCCTACGTATGCAATGAGATAACAAGCCACATTTTTGGGTCTCGCTTTAACTTAAAGAATCATTTTTGCTTGTCAATTTAGCATCTTCGCTTTAATCATTATTTTTTATTTTTCGCTTGTCAAAAAATAAAAAATAATGAAAAAGAAACAACAAAGCACTCCCTCCCAGTCCCAAGTCTCTATCTTACTTATGCTGAGTTTTATTAATTTTTTTAAGGCGGTTTTTGTTAAAATAGCCTATTTTCACAACTTTTAGCCTATTTTCACAACTTTTATTCTATAATAGTCTCTGTTCTACAGATTGTCTCTTTGTTATCCTTATAATTCCCTCTTTGTTTATTCGTTTGTTTTTTTTTTTCAGTATAAACGATAGTCTAAATTAGAGGAATGGAGATTTCTCACACACATACAACTATAATGTCGTGGGGATTCGAACATAAGATCTCTAGTATGCAAACCAATACCCTTTTCTACTAGGCTAGATTCCGTAGGTTTATATTTTCCTTTTTATTGTCCCTATAGTTCTTTGTTTGTTGTTTGTTGTTTGTTCCTATAGTGCCTCCTTAACGTAAAGGGGCTATTTTAGAATAGAAGTTGTGAAAAGGGACTATTTTAGCCAATTCCACTTTTTAAAACTATTTCAACGTGAAAAGAGGATGGACTCAAGTGCAAAAAGCCGACATACTGCTTCGCCAACTCAGCTAAACTTATCTGCTACTTCAGCACCTTAAAACTTTGTCCATCACAGCTATATCCTCCCAAGGCCCCATGGAAATTGAATCTCATCAGCAGCTTCACATGTTCTCATTTCCATTCATGGCTCAAGGCCGCAACATACCCTTCATAGACATAGCCAAGCTATTTGCTTCTCATGGTGTAAAATCCACCCTGATAACCACCCTTGTCAATGCACCACTCTTCTCCAAAGCAATCCAAAGCAGCAAAAATTTGGGGTTTGAAATTGAACTTCTTGTTATCAGATTCCCAGCTGAGGAAGTTGGGTTGCCTCAAGGATGTGAAAGCAGTAACTTGGCTACAACAATTGAGATGAAGGAAAAGTTCTTCAAAGCCACCTTCCTGCTTGAGCCACAGATTGAGCAGATTTTAGACCAGCACCGCCCTCACTGCCTTGTTGCTGATTCTTTCTTTCCTTGGGCTACAGATGTTGCTGCCAAGTTCGGAATTCCAAGGCTCATTTTTCACGGGACTGGTTTTTTCCCTTCGTGTGCTTCACTGACTGTGATATTGCATCAGCCTCACAAGAAGGTGGAATCTGATTCAGAACTTTTTACTATTCCTAATTTCCCAGTTGAGATCAAGATGACACGAACCCAAATACGGAGTCTCTCTGAGAAAAATTCTGAATCAATAATGACCAAATTGTTCAAAGAATCCAGAGAGATTGAGGAAAGGAGCTATGGGATTATTGTTAATAGTTTCTATGTGTTGGAAGTTTGAATGAAATTCAAGAACTTTAGTTCCACATTGGTAGAAAGTAGAAAGAATGAAGTCTTTATAAGTGTGGAAGTGAGCCAAGTGGAAGCAATTTGGGCTTCAAAATCTATTTGTGCTTTGAATATTATATAAAATTATATAATATTTAATGGTCAAAAAGATGGGCCTTGGGGCACTTGGGCACTTTGAGATTTAAAATTATTTTTTTGGTTTCGAATTAATAATTTCTTATTAATTCCGATTAGTTTTATTAATTGTTTTCTAACAGTTGTGACTCTTCTGATAAGGTTTCAGAAGTTTATTTAAATCGAACAAGGCCTCATACGTTAAACACATAAAAAGCATTTACAAGCATCTCATCTTGTCTGAGAGGAAAACAAACAACGTTCGCCATATTCTAAGTCCAAGTGCTAGGGCTTAGAATACAGATAGTTGTATCATGTGAGGCAGTCACCTGTAGAACTTCAAGCACCGAGAGGGGTGAAATTACTGTCTTTAGGACATTGCATCAAATCTGCAAGTCTCTATCTCGAATTCAAGTCAGTTTCATTTATTGTTTATATACTGTATTCTGTATTACAATTTATTATAAATTCTATTTATATAATTGTTTTAATTAGTCACTGATTGTTGTTTTTCCAACACTATGAACTTGAGCCAGATTTTGCAGATCATTACAGGAATGTTTTTGGGAGGAAGGCATGGCATATAGGTCCAGTTTCGCTATGCAACAAGGCAGCAGAGGATAAAACAGAGATAAGGGGAATGGAAGCCTCCCTTGATGAACATGAGTGCTTGAATTGGCTAAGCTCTAAGAAACCCAATTCAGTTGTTTACATATGTTTTGGAAGCCTGACCAATTTTGCTGATGTTGAGCTGCTAGAAATTGCATTGGGGCTTGAGGCTTATGGGCAGGAATTCATTTGGGTTGTGAAGAAAGAAAAGAAAGAAAAGGAAGAGTGGTTGCCTGAAGGGTTTGAACAGAGAATGGAAGGCAAGGGAGTAATTATAAGAGGTTGGGCTCCACAGGTGCTGATTCTGGAGCATCAAGCAATTGGAGGGTTTGTAACTCACTGTGGGTAGAATTCTATCCTTGAAGGAGTGTCTTCTGGGGTGCTAATGATAACATGGCCCGTGTCTGCCGAGCAGTTTTACAATGAGAAGTTGGTGACTGAAATTCTGAGAATTGGGGTTGCTGTTGGTTCTGAAAAATGGGCTTCATTAGTAGATGTGAAGAAGGAAGCAAGAGTGAAGAGGGACGCTATAGAGAAGGCTGTGGCTCAAGTCATGGTGGGGGATGAAGCAGAGGAAATGAGAAGCAGAGCCAGGGGACTAAGAGAGCTGGCAAGGAGGGCTATTGAAAAAGGAGGATCATCATACTCTGATTTGAATGCCCTAATTGAAGAACTGAGGTCCCATAGGTCCCATAGTAAGTATTGAAAAGGACTTCAGTTTTTTTTCCGTGTGTCTTTTATGTCTTATGTATAAGAAAAATTTGAGTGACAAGCTTATTTGAGGGACACCCTTGTAGGACTCACCACACATTGTATTTCAATGATCCGAATCATTCAGTTTTTAGATATTTTCTCAAAGATCATCTTTGCAAAAAAATAAATAAATAAATAACCAAAAAAAAAAAAAATCCTAAATCATTTGACCACTCAATTAGATGGTTGTTATTATTGTATTTTCTTGAAGTACCGTGTTCATTTATTTTGTAAGTCCCGATTAGATGCTGGAATGATTTTCAATTTTCCTGATTTTTGAAAGGATGATTTATGCAATTGCAAGGAGCTCACAATCATTGAAACCAAATTCAGTTCTGTACATATGTTCTGGAAGCATGTTCAATTTCACTTGTGAGCTCCTTGAAATTGCACTGGGGCTTGAGGGTTGTGGGAAGGAATTCATTTGGGTTGTGAAGAAGGAAAAGAAAGAAAAGGAAGAGTGGTTGTCTGAAGGATTTGAACAGAAAATGCAAGGTTAAGGGACTATTAGAAGACGTTGGGCTCCACAAGTGCTGATTCTTGAGCATCAAGCAATTGGAGCCTTTTTTACTCACTGTGGGTGGAACTCTATCCTTGAAGGGGTGTCTGCTGGGTTGTCACTGATCACATGCAGGGCCGGAACTAGCCCAAGGGCTGTAGCCTGGGAAGGTTTTGGGTAAAAAATTAATTAAACATATATAGCCTAATATCTTAAACTAAAAATAAATATTATATATATATATATAATTGCATATCCTACCACACCAATAGTCAAAGGTCTTCCACATTTGTATTTGGTGTCTGAGCTTGTCCCAAACATCAATTTTAATTCTTTTCCATTAACGTATCTTTGAAAGAGAAGCATTTTTCTAAATAAAATTCACACTTTTGTGAATAATATGGCTCTAATTCCAAATTTTTTTTCTTGTGTTTATAACTAGCTTGATTTATATGGTTTAATGTATACTTTTATTTCTAGAAAAATTATAGAAACTGTTAGTACAAAAAAATAATTATCATTAGATTTTAAGCTAATAACTTTAGCTAATCCACCATTGAAAAATTCATGGTTCCGCCTTTGATCACATGGCCCATGTTTGCCCAATAGTTTTACAATGAGAAGTTGGTGATTGAGATTCTTAGAACTGGAGTTTCTTTTGGTGCTCAACAATGGGCTGAATTTGTAGAGGTGAAGAAGAAAGCCAGTGTGAAGAGGGAAGCCTAGAGAAGGTTGTGACTCAAGTCATGGTGAGGGGTGAAGCAAAGGAAATGAGAAGCAGAGGCAGGGCACTTGGGGAGATGGCAAGGAGGGCTGTTGAAGAAGGCGATTCATCATTCTCAGATCTAACTGCTCTTGTTGAAGAGTTGATGTCCCTTAGAGGTTGAAGCTTTAGACAAACATGCCAACATTGGAAGGAATTGCTGTTGGGGTGCCAATGATCACATGATGAGCAATTTTTTAAGGAGACATGTTAAAAATTGGGGTTAGCGTGTTGAGTGTGTAAATCCCACATTGGAAAATTAGTGTCTCGAATATGAGTGTAAAAAATATTGGGCCTCTCCAATAATTTTTAGTTTGATAATCACATTCTAATATGTGTTAGTGATCAATAAAGGAGAAGCTTTTGTTAAAGCTCTAATTGAAGAATTGAGTTCCCATAGTTAAAGTTGGACCACACATTCCAATGAGAGTTCACTTGATAAATAATTTAGATTAGCAGTCTTTTTTGACACAATCTAGCAAGTATATTTTCTTTTAAGATAACGATGCATGTTGCCGATTGAATTTATTTAATTTTCATATTTTGACTAAAAACTTGTTCGTTTTCTTTCTTGAATCAAACTAAAATCTTTAAAAAATACTAATAAATGATGTAAGAGAGACTACGCATGCAATGAGAGAGCAAAAGTCATTCTTGGCTTGCCTTAAAGAAGCATTTTTGAAAAAGAAAGAATCACTTCATCTCCATCATTCTTATTGTACCTGTCTGCTTTGTGCACTACAACAACAGTCCTTCCATCAAAGTACCCATGGAAACAAAATCCCATGAGCAGCTTCACATTTTCTTCTTTCCATACATGGCTCAAGGCCACAGCATACCTCTCATAGACATAGCCAAATTATTTGCTTCTCGTGGTGTCAAATCCACCTTAATAACCACTACTCTCAATGCACCACTTTTGTCAAAAGCAATCCAAAGCAGCAAAAATTTGGGGTTTGAGATTGAAATTCTTGTCATCCAATTTCCAGCTATTGAAGTTGGGTTGCCTCAAGGATTTGAGATTACTAGCATGGCTACAACCCATGAGATGAAAGAAAAGTTCTTCCAAGCTACCTTCCTGCTTGAGCCACAGATTGAGCAGATTTTAGACCAACATCGACCTCACTGCCTCGTTGCTGATTCATTCTTTCCTTGGGCTACAGACGTTGCTGGCAAGTTTGGGATTCCAAGGCTCATATTTTATGGACCTGGTTTTTTGCCTATGTGTGCTTCACTTAGTGTGATATTGTATGAGCCTCACTTGAAGGTATCATCTGATTCAGAAGTTTTTACTATTCCTAATCTCCCGGTTGAGATCAAGATCACACGAAACCAAGTACCGATATTTGAGCAAAATGCCAATCCATTCTTGTCCAAGTTGTTAAAAGAATCCAGGGAGTGTGAGGAAAGGAGCTATGGGATTATTTTTAACACTTTCTATGAACTTGAGCCAGCTTTTGCAGATCATTACAGGAAGGTGTTTGGGAGGAAGGCATGGCATATAGGCCCAGTTTCCTTATGTAACAAGGCAGCAGGGGACAAAACAGAGATGAGGGGAATGGAAGCCTCCCTTGATGAACATGAGTGCTTGAATTGGCTCAATACTAAGAAACACAATTCAGTTGTTTACATATGTTTTGGAAGCCTGACCAATTTCAGTGATCCTCAGCTCCTTGAAATTGCTTTGGGGCTTGAGGCTTGTGGGCAGGAATTCATTTGGGTTGTGAAGAAAGAAAAGAAAGAAAAGGAAGAGTGGTTGCCTGAAGGGTTTGAACAGAGAATGGAAGGCAAGGGAGTAATTATAAGAGGTTGGGCTCCACAGGTGCTGATTCTGGAGCATCAAGCAATTGGAGGGTTTGTAACTCACTGTGGGTGGAATTCTATCCTTGAAGGAGTGTCTTCTGGGGTGCCAATGATAACATGGCCCGTGTCTGCCGAGCAGTTTTACAATGAGAAGTTGGTGACTGAGATACTGAGAATTGGGGTTGCTGTTGGTTCTGAAAAATGGGCTCCATTAGTAGATGTGAAGAAGGAAGCAAGTGTGAAGAGGGACGCGATAGAGAAGGCTGTGGCTCAAGTCATGGTGGGTGATGAAGCAGAGGAAATGAGAAGCACAGCAAGGGCACTTGGGGAGATGGCAAGGAGGGCTGTTGAAGAAGGTGGTTCATCATTCTCAGATTTAACTGCTCTAATTGAAGAGTTGAGATCCCTTTGAGCTTGAAGCTTTATAGAAAAAATACCACCATTTTGTGTTCTTTTGCTTTTAACATTGTGGGTGGAACTCAACAATTGAAGGAACTGTTGTTGGGGTGCCAATGATCACGTTGCTGGTATCTGATGAGCAATCTTATAATGAGAAGTTGGTGACCCAAGTGCTAAAAATTGGGGTTGGTGTGTTGAGAGTGCAATGATCACATTGCAATTCTTACATGAGAGTTTAAATGATATTGGATAACTCCAATTAATTCTGAGTTTGATTTGAATGCTCTAATTGAAGCATTGAGGTCCCATAATTAAGGTTGGACCACACATTCAAATGAGATTAACAATCTTTTGTGATACAATCTAGCAAGAACAGTTTCTTATGAAAGAGTTATGCATTGAGCACTGATTTGTTTTATTTTTTTGTTGACCATTCATTCAGCATATTCGATCGGTAAGGTTGGTGGATTAAATAAATTATTATGATAGTTCGTTCCTATGTAGATAGAATCAAACTAATATCTTAAAAGAATACTAAAATAAACCTATAATGTGAACAAATGATGTAAGAGACTACGCATACAAAGAGATAGCAAAGTCATTTTTGGCTTGCCTTAAAGAAGCATTTTTAAAAAAGAAACAAACCCTTCCCTCCCCTCCCAAGTCTCTATATCTTATAATCCGCATCATTATTATTGTGTCTGTCTACCAGAGTTCCCATGGAAACAAAATCCCATGAGCAGCTTCACATTTTCTTCTTTCCATATATGGCTCAAGGCCATAGCATACCTCTCATAGACATGGCCAAAATATTTGCTTCTCATGGTGTAAAATCCACCCTAATAACCACTCCTCTCAATGCACCACTTTTCTCAAAAGCAATCCAAAGCAGCAAAGAATTGGGGTTCAAAATTGAGCTTATTGTCATCAGATTCCCAACTGAAGAAGTTGGGCTGCCTCCGGGATGTGAAAGCTCTAACTTGGCTACAACCAAAGAGATGAAGCAAAAGTTCTTGAGAGCTACCACCCTTCTCCAGCCACAGCTTGAGCATATTTT